ACAAAACCAAGAAACCAGACAATCCTCATTTTACCTCTGTCCAAGTTTGGAGGAATTAGTCTTCACAGCAGGGAAGACTTCCTGGGTTACTAAGTCACAATGTGGCCTTGAACAAGTTACAAACCCTTTGTGACCATCAGTTTCCTAGTCCATAAAGTGAGACTAATTCTACTGTGATAGAATTTATTTCTCCCATGTGAAAGAGTGTAGAGCTAGAAGAATGGGGCTCGCTTCTTTAAATTATTCAAATCCTGATCTGAGAATGGCTGACTAATACTTTCAGGTCTTCTTACTTTCGGGTTGAAATTTGACCAATATGAAATTGGGAGTGACAGTCTGTACAAACTAAAGTCAGACCTGCCTAGACTGGCCAGAATGAGAAGATGAATAAGGTTTTGAGACAGCAAACTTTGAGGCCAGGAGATTAAGGTGGGCTGAGAAAATACAGAGTTGAGATCTCTAGGTATTTGCAGGGTAGGTGAGCAAAAATATAGTTGAATACATTTATGTATTTATTATTTTAAAAAATAACTTATATACACATTTATTATAGTATAATAGAGCCAAGGTCTCATTATGTTGCCCAGGCTGATCTCAAACTTCCAGACTCAAGCAATCCTCTCACCTCTGCCTCTCAAAGTGCTGGGATTACAGATGAAAGCCACCACACCAGGCCACATTTATTTATTTATTATTTTTTAGAGATGGGATCTTGCTCAGGCTGGAGTGCAGTGGTGTGATCAGAGCTCACAGCAGTCTCGAACTCTTGGGTTCAAGCAATCCTCCAGCCTCAGTTTCCCAAAGTGCTGGGACTACAGGTACATCACCACCACACCCAACTAATTTCTTAAAGTTTTTTATAGAGCTGGGCTTGGTGGCTCAGCCTGTAATCCCACACCTTGGGAGGCTGAGGTGAGTGGATTGCCTTAGCCCATGGGTTCAAGACCCGCCTGGGCAACTTGGTGAGACCTCCTCTCTACAATAAATCAAAAAATTAGCCGGGTGTGGTAGCGTGTGCCTGTAGTTCCAGCTATTTGGAAGGCTGAGGCGGAAGGATCGCCGGAACCCCAGCAGGTCGAGGCTGCGATGGCCGGGAGTGGCCACTGGACTCCAGTCTGGGTGCAGAGTGAGACTCCAATTCAAAAAAAAAAAAAAGTTTTTTATAGAGATAGTGTCTTACTATGTTGCCCAGGCTGGTCTCTAACTCCTAGCCTCAAGTAATCTTGCCACCTCGGTCTCTCAAAGTGCTGAGATTGTAGCCATAAGCCATCATGCTGCGATGGCCGGGAGCGGCCACTGGACTCCAGTCTGGGTGCAGAGTGAGACTCCAATTCAAAAAAAAAAAAAGTTTTTTATAGAGATAGTGTCTTACTATGTTGCCCAGGCTGGTCTCTAACTCCTAGCCTCAAGTAATCTTGCCACCTCGGTCTCTCAAAGTGCTGAGATTGTAGCCATAAGCCATCATGCCTGGCCAAAAATACAGTTTGTATAGTCCACCTGACTGTGGCAGCGGACCAAATATATAAACAGAAATGAGGTAACATGGTAATTAATAAGTAAAATCTAATGGTTACATCTCAGTAACCATGGAAACAGCTCCGACATCTATCTTGTATTGTTCCTTTCGCTCTCCATTGTTTCCTTCACCCTCGTCTACCTCCGAGAGGGGCAGAGCAGGCCTGATCCCCCTAGATCGAGAACTTCATAAAGTCAGGAGTTTCTGCCTCTCATATAGCCCTCTGCACACTGAGGCACTGCCGAAAATTATTTAAATTGAATTGTACTCCCATTGTTCAGGTGAGGAAACAGGCCCGGCACTGTGGCCTTACATGAGGCGACACGTTAGTGGCAGAAGTATAACTAGGCTGGGCTCAGCAGCTCACACCTGAAATCCCAGCACTTTGGGAGTGGGTCTCACAGTTCTCATCGTCTTCCCACAGTGGCCTCCTCCTTCCTAACCCTTTCCCACTATGAATCATACAACAGTGAGCCCAATCCGCAGCTTGCTCTTCACTTGTAGAATGATGTTCCACTGCCTCCATGCTGACCAGTCCTGCTGGGCAGGTATGAAACCCGCTTGATAATCAGAAAGACTGATGCTCCAGGAGTTGGCCCAGCAAGCCACAGAAAGCCAGGATCTCGCTGGGGCAGGACTCCTGATTCGTGGTCCAGTCCATGTTCCTTCCATTAGCCCAGGTGGCCTCATGTCCCCACCAGATTGGCAGCCTGAACCAGGGAATACATTCACCCACCCCACCCCCCACCGCTTTCCCACTTTTGACTCTGTCCACAGTACAAAGGCTGTTCAGTAAGTGAGGCCTCCAGGCTGATTCTCCAGGCTCAGCCCCTGCACCAACTGCAGTCCAGCCACACCCAGGCACACAGAGCCCTGAACGGGGTCCCCCAGGGAGGAGGAGGAAGGTGGGAGCCTGAGGAGTGAGAAGCCTGAGGCTGCAGGGAGGCAGCAGAAGCAGCTGTGTGTGAACGCCAATTCTACCCAAAGGAGAGTCCTTGAAGCGCCATCTTGCCAGCCCTTCCAGCCACTTACAACAATCCTAGTAGTAAACATAGTAAACTGGGGCCTTGCTCACTATCGCCAGGGTCAAGAAAACCAGCCAGCTAAATCTGCTCGGTGGCTGGACACTGAGTCTGGAGTGTTAGAGAAAGAGACGCAGGGCTCTGTGGTTGTCCTGGATCATCCTACCCTACCTGGCCAGCAGGTAGCAGGAGGATCAGAGGCCTCTCTCTCCTCGGAAACTGCTGGGTCGGTGAGAAGATGCCAACTCAAGTCTTGGCCGTCTTGCCCCACTTCTGTTTCACGGTGTCTTGGGGAAAACCAAGAACGAGAGTGACCTTGACTAAACCCAGCTCAGCTGTTCATTAGACATCCCATCTGTTCCTTTCTCATTCTATCCTCAGAGGGTTTCCTTGCATCTATCTAATCATTCCAGGCTTTCCTCCCTGCCAAACTCCTCTTATGGATCGACACCCCAGAGACTTCCAGACCAGTTCAGAAGTGACCTGGGAGGAAGGCGTGGGAGAGCGAGCTGGAAGGAAGCAGCGGTCCTGGCCTTGGGTGTTTATACCCACCCCTCCCTCTGCTGGGAGGCTGTTTGTTCGAGTTGGGAAGAAGCCAATCAGATGCACTGGATCAGGGTGTCCCATCCGAGGAGACAGGGGGCTATTTGTCTTCTCTCATGAGACAGATAGTCCTAGGAGGAGAGAAGGGCTTAGGAACAGCAATGGGGTGGACAGGGAGAGATAATCCATCGATCCCTCAGGAGTGCAGTCAGGGTGGGCTCCCCATATTAGACTACGTGGTCCAGGAGAAAACCCAGAGCTTGCCTGATTTGAAGAGCGAGGGGTAGCCGGGCTCGGTGGCTCAGCCTGTAATCCCGTGCCTTTGGGAGGCTGAGGTGAGTGGATTGCCTGAGCCTGTGGGTTCGAGATCCACCTGGGCAGCGAGACCTCATCTCTACAATAAATAAAAAATCAGCTGGGTGTGATAGCACATGCCTGTAATTCCGGCTACTTGGAAGGCTGAGGCGGAAGGATCGCCGGAGCCCAGCAGGTCGAGGCTGCGGTGGCCAGGAGCGGCCACTGCACTCCAGTCTGGGCGACAGAGTGAGACCCCAACTCAAAAAAAAAAAGAGCAAGGGGAGGAGCAGAAGAGGGTCAGAGGAAAAGACAGAGTTCTAGGCTTGACTCAACATGGCGTTGTGTGTGATTTGGGGAAAGTCCCCTTCCTCTCCATCTCCTCTGTATCTGACAGATGCTCAGTGTCTGAGGTTCTCCAGCTCTGCAAGTGTGTGGTTTTGATAAGTTGAGCTGGTGCTGGGGGCTGCTCAGCACACAGGAGAAGGCTGGAAAGCAATTTAAAGCTCTCGACATTGCTAAATGGCTATTCACAGGGGCAGGTGGGGAGTCCTACCTCTTCTTTGATAGCAAACAAAAAAGAATTGGGCCTATTCTGGATTGCTGGAACTGTTCTATATACCTTGAAATGGGATTTTTCACCTGTGTACAGGTAAAAATTCATTGAGCAGTACACTTAAGCTCTGTGCACTTTTTTGTATGTAAACTCAACCTCAGTAGAAAGGTTTTAGAAATGGACTTAAGGCCAGGCATGGTGGCTCACTCCTATAATCCCAGCACTTTGGGAGGCAGAGGCAAGAGGATTGCCTGAGCCCAGGAGTTTAAGACAAGCCTGGGCAACTTGGTGAGACCTCATCTCTACAATAAATAAAAAATTTAGTCAGACACGGTGGCATGCACCTATGGTTCCAGCTACTTGGAAGGCTGAGGTTGAAGGATAGTCTGAGCCCAGCAGGTCAAGGCTGTGGTAGCCTTGAGCATGCCACTGCACTCCAGTCTAGGCAACAGAGTGAGACTGATTAGAAAGAAAGAAAAAGAAAGAAAGAAAAAGAAAGAAAGAAAGAAAGAGAAGAAAGAAAGAAGGGAAGGAGGGAGGGAAGGAGAGAGAAGAAAGGACTTAAATCCCACAAATTCCCAACAGGGGAGACTTTAGAGAAGTGAATTTCTCCAAGAAGATTAAGGATCTCCTTCTCCTGAGAACTTTAGGGAGATTACCCATCTTTGCAGACAGAAGTGGTGGGAAATTAGGAAACAAATAAGGTGACCTCTCTTGCAGGGAGTCTTCCAAAGTCCATCCATCCTCAGTAAGCCCCATGTTTCTTCCCAGGGACAGAAAGAGCCTCTTTACTGCCCATAGCCATCTCTCCTATGGTAATGCTGGCCACCCCTCTGCCTTCCACGGAGCCCACCATCCCCCTGGCCTCAGACAAAATCTTCTTAGATCCTGTGTTTGGATTATTGGGAGAGACGCCCTTTCAACTGTCTCCCACCCTTTGCTCCCCTTCCCCTATTCTCCTCTTATCGGGAATGTCAATTCCTGCTCCGAGCCTCCCACCCAGGCCCTCTTTCCGGTGGTATGTGCCAGCCGGTCCTGCATCCCACATCCCCAGCTGTTGACATTTCGGTGCCATTACCCACAGGATAAAGAAAGGGCCCCTGTTATCCAACAATAGGGGAAAGACAGAGACAATGGGAAATTGTGTTTCCGATGGGGTGGGGATAGAGAAGGAAAGGACAGACAGACAGACAGGGGGCTGCACAGAAGGGGTCAGGTTTCTTGAAGCAGCTGGAAGGCCGGCTCCCACCTTGAGAGCCTCTTCCCAAAGGCAATGCACACCCAGGAACTGGAGGGCAAAGGTGAGTACTTTGTTGGGGAGGGGATGGGGGGTGGGAGTGTTGCTTAGACAAGGCCCATATGGATGTGCAACAGCAGCCAGAGCTTGACAGTTATGGATCTTTGAGCCACATTTGGAGTCCATCCTCTCGGTCAACACCCTCACACCTCGGTCCCCCTCATCAATCCACCCTTCTCCGGCCCAAGGACATCAAGAAGCAACTGGGTACCCCACCTTCTGCGCTCTTCTAGGTGGTGATCATCCAGGGGTTGCACCTTTATTCCATCCCTCTGCGTGGATTCTCAGCCCTCACTCCGAGCCCAGCAACTATCCCTGGTCCCAGAACAGCGAGCTCCACAGACAGTCACAGGGCTGAACACTGGTCACCCAGCCTGGCTTAGCTGACTGATGAGTGGGGGAGGGGTGGCATTCTTGGCACCTTGACTTCTTGTGGAGCACAGGGCAGAGCCTTTCCTCAAAGACGCAAAAGGAGCAACTGTCCCAGGGTTTTAAGGTGCTTGGAACTCCCAGGAGCCTGGCCACACCTTCATCTGGAACCTCTTCCTCAAGCAGGACTGCAAGCTGTGAGGCACTGCTCCCTCTGTCCATGTGAGGAGACCAGCTTTTAACAGGTAGGCATGGAGCTGCCCACCATATGCTCATTTTCTTAAGAGGTTTGAAGAGGGTAGGCATCTCTCTCTAAATACAGAAATTTAGATCAGTGATGATGAGCTTGAGCCTCACTGTCAGATCTGGATTCAAATCCCAGAAAGCCCTCCTCTTCCTAGCTGCGTGACCTCACTCAAGTTTCCTAAAATGTGTGGGCTGTTGTTTCAGCATGTACAAAATGGGATTTATAGTCGTTTCTACCACCCAGGATTGCCAGGAGTAATACACAATGTGCACATGTAAAGCACTTGAAGCGGTGTCAGCACACTAAACCTGAAATATATTCATGCGAGCTGTCATTCTTCTTGGTACTTGAGTCAACCTCAACCCCCAGGATCTCTTTTTTATTTTTATTTTATTTTATTTTTTGAGTCGGAGTCTCACTCTGTCACCCAGGCTGGAGTGCAGTGGCACACTCATGGCCACCCCAGCCTTGACCTGCTGGGCTCAGGCGATCCTTCCACCCCAGCCTTCCAAGTAGCTGGAACTACAGGTACACACCATCATGCCCAGCTAATTTTGTGACTTATTATAGAGATGAGGTCTTGCCATGTTGCCCAGGATGGCCTCGAACTCTAGGGCTCAGGCAATCCTCTTGCCTCAGCCTTCCAAAGTGCTGGGATTACAGGCATTAACCACCACACCTGGCTTCCGTGATCTTTCTCACTTACCAGATTCTCCTTTAAAGAAGTGGTTCTCTCACTAATGTCCCAGTCCCAGATACTTTCGCTGTTAATCATTGGGAAGTTTTTTCTGTGCCTAACCTCTGTTTCTCCTGCTGCAAGCTGGTCATTGGCCCTAATTTGCCGGAAGACAGAGCTCAGTTCTTTAGATTTCTGGCTACTCTTCAAGGTTTCTTCTTCCCCCCAGACCCTATCTCTTCTTCCCAGGAGTCCTTAATTAATATGAGCTCATTCATTAAAATGCAATTATTGATTTAGCACCTCTGTGCCAGAATCTGTGCTGGAGACTGAAGATGATAGCTAACTCACACACAGCACTTATTACATATCAGGAATGATTTCAGGCATTTTGTATATACTAATTCATCTAATTCTCACAACTACTCAGTGAGGTAGGTGCACTATTTCCTGTTCTTCACATTTTACTGATGAAGACACTGAGGCAGAGAGAGGTTAAGTAGCTTGTTTAAACTCATGTAACCAGGAAGTAGAGGAACCAGGTTTGGAAAATGAATAAAACCAAGTCAAGGGGTCCTCAGATCTTTTTTTTTTTTTTTTTGAGTAGGAGTCTCACTCTGCCACCCAGGTTGGAGTGCAGTGGCACACTCACGGCCACCACAGCCTTGACCTGCTGGGCTCAGGCAATCCTTCCGCCTCAGTCTTCCAATTAGCTGGAACTACCCTTTCTTTAATGTATCATTCTTTTAAAAAAGATGGGATCTTGCTGTATGCTGGGTGGTCTGGGACTTCTGGGCTCAAGTGATCTTTCTGCCTCAGCCTCCCAAGTAGCTGGAAATACAAGTAAGCGCCATCATGCCAGGTTATCATATTGTTCTTATCACCTCGATCTTTTTCTTAAAAAATCGATCCCAGTCTGGGTGCGGTGATCCCAGCACTCTTGGAGACTGAGATGAGAGGATTGCCTGAGCTCATGGGTTCGAGACCAGCCCAGACAACTTGGCGAGACCTCATCTCAACAATAAGTCAAAAAATTAGCTGGGCATGGTGGCACATACCTGTAGTTCCAGCTACTTGGAAGGCTGACGTGGGTGACAGAGTGAGACTCCAACTCAAAAAAACAAAAACAAAAGAACCCAATCTCTATAAAAAATCAAAATATAAGCCAGGTGTGGTGATGCATGCCTGTAGTCCCAGCTACTCAGCAGGCTGAAGCAGAAGGGTTGCCTGAACCTAGAAGGTCAAGGCTGCGATGAGTCATGATCATGCCACTACACTCCAGACTGGGGGACAGAGCAGCAGTACCGGCCCTCGTCCTCCTGGCACAAAAACCCCAACTCAAAAGAAAAAAGAAAAAAAAAGAAAAGAAAGGGGAAGAAATCAACTACTGTTCTGAACTAGACAATTACATTTGAAATAATTTTTATGACTTTATAACTGTAGAGTTTTAACTTTATATAGTTTCTGGAAAACCACATTGATATAGTCTACATATGTGTATGTATTATTCTCCAACCCACACTGTTAGTTTAGGTGCTAATAAAAGTATTTCTAAGAAAAAATGTCCACAGTTGAATCTAGTAGATCACAGTGCACTACAAGGTGGCAAACTGGGGGACGAGGAAAGTTTCCCAGAGGAGGTGAAGCCCAAACCCAGACCTGTGCAAAGGATGTGTGTACTAGGACCGCTTGGAAACTGCCAGAAGTCCGGCATGTCTGGAGCAGAGTGCAAGGGTGCTGAGGGGCAGGGTGGGGGCCTCGCTGGAGCAGGGAGCAGCTGGATGACCCAGCCTTGGACACTGTGATTGGGAGATTGGACGTCATCCTCAGGGCACCGGGGAGTCAGTTTCAAGCAGGAGAGTGACAAGGTCATCATGACTTCAGGATGGAGGAGGGCACGGGCAGGGGTATGGACTGGAGCTAGCAGTCAGATGGCAGGCTTGAGAAGCAGCCCCTGTGACACGAGGGGCAGGGAGAGGAGATGCTGTCAGGGCCTGCTGACTGCAGAGAGGTGAGAGAGGCAGGGGATAGGAAGGGGGCCTGTTACTGCCTCCCCATTACCTGCCTTTTGTCACCAGCCCTCTTCTCTGCCCCCATGACTTCCAGCTGGACAGTCCCCTGCAGAGACTCCCCTGAAGGGAGCTCATCCCTAGCCCTTCTCCTCCCTCCTTCCTAAGAACTGCACATACTCCCACCCTGAAGACAGTGCTAGACTGAATCCACCATGCCAGGCCACCTCACCCTCCTCACACTCTGCCGCTTCCTTCTCCCTTGGGCCTTCACCATTTTCCACAAAGCCCAGGGAGACACAGGTAAGACCCCACCCAGGCCAGCCTGGGGGGGGGGAGTGCGAAGGGCAGCTGATGGGGTACCCAGGGAGTGAGGGTCACTGCTGGGGTGGCTACGGAGGTGAGGGTGGGGAGTCTGGGGAAAGCGCCCAGGGGGCAGGGTCTGGATGGGCACTTGGGGCAGTGAGGATCGGGGGTTCCTGCCACTGTGGCCCCCTCTGCTCAGCATCCCACCCGGGCCCCCACTACCTCCTGCCCCCCATCCACGAGGTCATTCACTCTCGCCGTGGGGCCACGGCCACGCTGCCCTGCGTCCTGGGCACCTCGCCTCCCAGCTACAAGGTGCGCTGGAGCAAGGTGGAGCCCGGGGAGCTCCGGGAGTCGCCGATCCTCGTCACCAACGGACTGCTGGCCCGGGGCTACGGGCCCCTGGGCGAGCGCGCCAGGATGCGGCGGGGGCATCGGCTAGACGCCCCCCCGGGCA